GGGGGCAGGGTGGGGTGGGTGAGGAGTCCTATCGCAGAGCACAAGGATTTTCAAAGACTCTGGGACCAGATCACCCGCAGGAAAATAGCCTGATCACATGCGATTCTTCACCCTCTGTGACACAACATTCTAGACCCTTGGCAGGAGCAACAGAAAACTTTTCCCCTCTTAGGATAGAGGGAGGCTTTTTGTTTGCGTCTTTTCAGGAATTCAGACCAATGGGAGCTGCTTTATTCTCTGATACAGAGACATGCGGGCAGTGTTTCATTTGCTCACTTTTGTTTTTATTGTGACAGAATACACGTAACATAAAATTTACAGTTTTAACCCTGTTAAGCGTGCGGTCCAGCAATACTAAGTGTATTCACATAGCTGTGCGGCCATCACCCGCATCCATCCGCGAAACTGTTTCATGTAAAACCGAAACTTCGCGTCTATGAAACGACACCTCTCCCACCTTCCCGCCGCCCCTGGTGCCTCTGGTCTATTTCAGTCTCTGTGAAGTTGCCTCCTCCGGGAGCTCATGCATGGAATCACACAGTGTCTGTCCTTCTGTGACCTGCTTATTTCACTGTTGTAGCAGGTGTCGGAATCTCCTTTTTAAGGCGGACCAATATCCCACCGCGTGCGTGCGGCACATCTTCCTTGGGGTTCGCCTGCCGTGGGCACTGGGGCTGCTTCCACCTTTCGGCTGTGGCGAATGACGCTGCTGCGAACATGGGCGTGCGATGCTCTGGGTCTAGACCCAGAACTGGATTTACTCAATTGCATTCCCTGAACTGTGGAGGAGACATTTGAGAATAAATAAATTTCAAATAAAAGTAACTATTCTCTGCTGTGCCCCCTAAAATCACCTGGGCTCCTTTCCCCCTGACTCCTATATGGAAAAGTTTTGTTGTTTTCCCGGGAGTCTTTACATAGAAAGGAAGTCGAAAGGGTCTCAACCGGCTCACCCGATCCTCCCGAAAACGGAACCCGGGTGACAAGTTCTTTAGTCAAGGTGGGTCAGTCCCTCGCCAAAGGTCAACAAACCGTACACGGGATTTTAGAGCAAAAGGGAAGTTTAGAAATCTCTTAGCCCAACCGTCCCTTTTGAGAGATAGGAAAACCAAGCCCCAGGTTGGCAGCTGACATGGCCACAAGCTCAAGGACTCAAATCGGACTCGACCCCATGGGGGACACGCGGAGCCCCCTCCTCACGCAAACCCCGCAGGCCTGCTGACCTGCCGCCCGCTGGACGTGGGTGCCGGGCCCTGCCGTGCAGGGCTGTCCCCGTCCAGCAGCCCCGACTGAGATTCTGACTCAGGGTCAGGGGACCCCCTATCGGGATCAGGGTTTGCCGGGAGATGTTAACAGTGGGCCTCTTTCCGGAGCTCCGATACCATCAAGGCCTCCGTTTTATGAAGAAATCCTGAGCTGCTTTCATAATCTCTGCTCTCAGCTCTTTCTCAGAGCGGAGTTCGTGTGAATCAAAACTGAGCAGTTGTTAATTAACTACAGTATAGGTGATTGGTTCCTGTTTTTTTTTTTCCAAACTCGCCTAACAGGGGCCAAAAGGAAGTTCACTGGGTCCATTGGTCCCCACCGGGTGCTTGAGGGCTCTGTGCTGGCTGTGCCCGTCGTCACTTCCCCGGCTTAGGGGAGAGACCATGGGGAGAGGCAGGACAAGGGGTGCGGGGCTTGGGGCAGATCACTGGGACAGGCCCGAGGATCACCTTCCTCCAGCTGGGGAACCCCCGAAACTGGGACCCCCTTGCTCCCTGTGTAAGTGAGAAGTGCTTGGCCTGTGCTCATGAATGCTAGAAAGTGTCCTTGTCGTGGTGCCGTCCTCGGGTCGAGTCGGTCGACCTGGGATCTCCTGGGGCTTTGACCCCACGGAAGGCCAGAGCTTCCCGAAGGGGAGCCCGTTCCTCACCTGCCCCCCTCCCAGGGCTCTTCAGGAACCACTGTGAGGCCTTGGGGGAGGACAGCAGTGTGATGTTTGCCCCTCCCGCCCCCGCGCCCAGCCTCCCTGCTGCAGGCCGTGTTCCTCCGCGCTGGCTGGAGCAGTGGACCCGGAGGCAGATCCCAACCGGCCGGCAGCCCCGGCCTGACTCTGTCATGTCACTTCCCTCTCGAAGCCTCAGTTTTCCCGCCTGCAACCCGGGAAGACACTGCTTCCCTGGCCCCGGCGTGGGATTTGATGGCAAAGGGCACGGCAGGTGGCTTTCACCACCGCTCCTTCGTCCTCCTTTGCACATCAGCTCAGTAGCCCGGCTGAGAAATGACGGCCTCTGCCCAGCGCTGGCCCAGTCGGCACTGAATAATAAACACCCACCTGGCGGCCTGAGCCAGCTCTGAAGCCCCGCTCCTCCCCTGCGAGACGGGAGAGCGAGTGAGGCTCAGCTCGGGGCCACGCAGGACAAAAGGGGGAGAAACAAGCCGCACAGACTCGTCGTAGGCGGACTTCCTGCCGTCCCAGCAGAGGCTTTAGCGCAAACCTTTGGTTCTAGCTGATTTCCTCATGCAATGTGTGTGCAAAAGTGGATCACCTTTTGATAGGCAGACCATGGCCCTGCCCTCAGAGACCCCCCAAAAACAAAGTGCAAGGGGAAGCCAGTGCTCTCAGCCCTCCCCTCGCTCATGGGGGGTCCACTCTCCTCCACCCAGGGTCTGGCCTCCCCAAGGGGTTTCCTGAGGTGAAGAAGAGTTAGAAGGGGGAAGGAAGGGGGTGTGGGGAGCCCTGGGGGGGACAGGAGGAGGAAGACGTGTCCCTGGGAGATAAGGCCGTGGCTGCCCGGCACGTGGGGAGACCAGCAGCCCCCAGCCCGAGCCTTTGTTCAGAGAGCCGAGACTCTGACAGCAGGAAGGGACTTCAGAGGCCTTCAACCTCCCCCACCTCCTTATTTTAGAGCTGAGAGAGCTTCGGGTCTGGGGCGTGTTCCTGGCTCCCTGGGGACTGCTGGGGCGCCAGGTCCAGGGCTTGTGCCTGTGGGTCGCGTGCTGGGGCCAGCAGCACTGCCCTCCTGAAGCTGCTCCTCCAGTGGGCAGAGATACCGCCGCCCCTGGTGGGCCCAGGCACCGTGCTGAGCGCCTGACACACATGCTGACGAGAAATAAGGGTCCTTATTGCTCCCAGCCACCCCACGAGGTTGGGTTATGATTCCCATGCACAGCAAGCAGCGGCCGGGCCTGGGCTTGTCCCCTGGGCGGAGCCCCCACAGCCCAAACTCCGGATGTCCCCCCATGGGGCTCTGGGCCAGGGGGTAGGCAGCACTGGGCCCTGTTGTGGTCCCTCTTCTGTCTGGGCTGGGTCAGCCCCTTGGGGAAGGGGTGAGTCCCAGGCCCTTGCCCCGAAGGCAGAGCTCCAAGCTGCCTTTTCTAATCTCCTACCTCCCAGCCTGCTCCTGGCCAGGGCCTTATCACCGCTCGCTGTTGTTCGGAGGAGCTGTGATCCCTTTCCCGCCTTCTCTTAGCCCTATCGCCTCTGCAGGGTGAGTGGGGCTGGGACTCCTCTGAGGCCTCAGGAATGGGCCTGGCCTTGGCTGAATATTTCTTCTGAGCTTCTGCCTGGACACAAAACAGCGGGTAGAAGGATAGAGGACCATAGGCAGAGGCTCTCTGTCCCCTGGAACCCTTGGGAGAGCATCACAGACTGGGTGCAAGGACACAAACCATTCTGGGGCCAGGAGAAGCTCTCTACCCCACAGGGTTGCAGGGGAAGCCAGGAGTCCCGCGGTAGTCAGATGGCCTGGCTCTGCCACTCCCCAACCCTGACCTAGGGCCATGGGCAGGTTCCTTGACCAATGTGGTCCTCAAATTCTTCCCTCTGACCAGCAGGCTCAGTGACATGCTGGGCTGGGCTGCCTACTGCTCGGCTCCTGGAGTTGGCACACATTTGCCTCTTTCTCTGTCCACAAAACCTCCGGCCTCCAGGTGCAGTGGAGTAGGGGGGTCCTCTCGGGCCTTGGGCCCCTCCTTCTGGGGACCAGACGCTAGGCTGGGGCTGGGGACGAGATGCAGTTCTACTCTGGCTGCAGCTGCTCCCAGCTTGCTGGACAACATGGATTTTCAATGGAGGTGCCCCCGCCTGCTGCTGCCTCTCTGCCAGGCCCCCGTGATAGGCACTGAGCACATATGATGCTCTCGTCAGCACTGCAGTCCTGGACATCCCACCTTACAGAAGATGAAATAGGCCCAGAGAGGTTAAGTATCTGCCCCAGACTGCACAGCAAGCGAGCTGAGATTGTAACTCATGAGCCGCGGATTATAAAACCTAAGCACTGACCGCCTCTTTCTGTGGCCCCTGAAGGTGATTCCACTGGGGCTCAAATGCAGCTTTTCTACAAGTGGGGTCCACAGTGTGCCACATGTGGGGACCCCTGTCCCTGCCCTACCCTCTCTGCTCCAGTGCACCTCAGGCCATGCCAGTGGGAGCGGGTGGCCCTGTGGTTGTCTGGAGGGTGAGCGTATCAGCTTTCCAGTGAGGTAGCAGTGAGCAGGTTAGGATCTGTAGCTGCCATAACAAAGTACCACAGGCGGGGTGGCTTAGACACGACAGAAATATATTCTCTTGTGGTTCTGGGGTCTGGAGTCCAAAATCGAGGTGTCGGCGCCTTCTGCAGCTCCAAGGCAGCGTCTGTTCCACGCCTCCGCCAGCGAGCACGGGCGTTCCTGGGCTTAGAGAAGCGACCCTCCAGTCTCCCTGCCTCTGGTCACAGGGCGCCCTTCTGCGTGTGTCTGGGTCTCTGTGTCCAGGTTTCCTTCCTTTTATAAGGACACGAGTCACATTGGATTTGGGGCCCACTCTAACGCAGCATGACTTCACCTTAACTTGATTACATCTGCAAAAAGACTGTTTCCGCCACTACGGTCACGCTCGCAGGTTCCCGGTTCCGTGAAGCTTGGGCGGGGGACACCGTCCAACCCAGTGCGGCTGGTGTTTGACCTCACGGCGAGGCTCTCAAATACGGAGGAGTGTGGTTCTCTTGCCCTCCTAAGTGTCCCCCTCTTTCCCCTCGCAGGTGTGGGGTGCACGCTGACCATGCCGCGCTCCTTCCTGGTGAAGAGCAAGAAGGCCCACACCTACCACCAGCCACGCGTGCGGGAGGATGGCCCGCTCTGGCCTCCTGCCCTCCCGCCCGGTGAGTCGGAGCCCAGGCTGGGCCCTACTGCTGCCGGGGGCTCTCTGCCCGGCGCGGTGGGGAGGCGGCAGCATCTCCCCCAAGGGAGCCTCCTCTCCCAGGACTGGAAGCAGGGCTCAGTCAGTGCTGGCTGAATGAACGCGTGAACGAATGATGCACTCGTGTCTCCGGATCCCTGAGGGTGGTGAGAGGCTAGATTGGAGCGAGTGCTGTTACCGGCATGCGGGGCCTGGCTGGAGGTCCGGTCTAGGGCTGGGGTTGGGGTGCTCGGAAGCACCCAGACCGGTCCAAGAGCTCTCAGGGTCCCCTCCTGGCCTCCCTCTCCCCCGCCCCACCCTGGGCAGAGCCCCCGAGCGTGCGCAGCCGGAGCAGCGGCAAGGGGGTCTCTCCCTGGGTCCTCCTCCTCCACCTAGGGAGGGCTCCTGCCCCCTTGGCGCTCCCCAGAAGCTGCAGCTTGTGACTCTGCTGGTCTTGTCTCCCCGCAGAGGCCCGGGACCAGGTCCTGGGCAGCGGCCCCGTCCTTGGCACCCTGTTCCCAAGCCAGTGCCTGGACTGGCCCAACCTCAAACAGGAGCCGGCGCTGGAGCAGGACCAGAGCTTGGCCAGGACGGCCTCAGCACCAGGTACCGGCCTGGGACCCCCAGCCACTCCCAGCAAGTGCGGGGGCGGGGAGGATGAATGGACTCCTGCAGCAGGGCCCCTTGGGGCTGCGGAGTCAGGAAGTTACAAAGTCACCTGGATGCAACCCGGGCTCTCCCAGGTTGGGCCTCCCCGACCGGGAGCTGATTCCTGGAGCGGGGCGTCTGTGGAGGGGGGAGGTCAGAGGACGCAGCTGGGCAGGCCCATGTGGCGGGTGAGGTGGGCACTCGGGGGTGAGGGTGGATGTGTTTCTGGGCTGGAAACCTGAAGACACCCCCACAATAAACATCTGGGGCTACGCACCGAAACCCGCAGCATGCGGTCACCAAGGTGGTGGTGGGTGGTGGAGGATGATGGGGAGTGGGTGCCCTATTTTTAAATGAGTCACCAGGCATGTGTCCCTGTCTCCACAGAGGTCCCCACTGTGATGTCCCGACCCCAGGACGGGGACTCTCCACTCTCTGACTCACCCCCGTTCTACAAGCCCAGCATCTCCTGGGATACCCTGGCCTCGTCCTACGGCCACAGCTACCGGCAGGCCCCCTCCACCATGCAGTCAGCCTTCCTGGAGCGCTCCGTCAGCCTGTACGGCAGCCCCCTGGTGCCCAGCGCCGAGCCCCCCCTGGACTTTACCCTCCGCTACTCCCCGGGCATGGAGGCGTACCACTGCGTCAAGTGCAACAAGGTGAGCAGCTGGGGGACGAGGGGCGTGTGCCCTGTTTTGCACCCCTCTCCAGCACACAGGTGGCTACGGAGGCTCCCGGCTGGGTGTTCCCTGTGCTATGAATCTTGGGACCCTGGTGGGATCAAGGATTCAGAATGTTCCTCCTCATTAGCCCGACCCTGTGCTGAGTATTTGACATGCATGAGTCAAAGGGAGGCAGATGAAGGGCTAAGATTCAGAAAGGTTAAGTCACTTTCTCAAGATCACACAGCAAGTAAATATCAGAACCAGCATTCAAACCTGACTCTCGCCAATGCCCAGCCTTTAACCATTAGGCTATTCAGCCTCTAGATGGGCAAGGAGGGGCCTCCCAGATCCCCTCTCTCAGCTCCCACCATAGAGACAGGAAACTGAGCCACAGAAAGGGTGAATGACCTCCCCAGGACACATAGCAAATGAGCAGCAGAACCAGCGGTCCAGTGCCTCTTCCCTTGTGTGCTCATCCTTGGCGGGAGCTGGGCACGGAGCGGGCCGTGGCGCCCAGGCCTGCCTCCCTCCCTGCAGCGTCCAGTGGCCTTATACTCTGTCCCTGCCCCCAGGTGTTCTCCACCCCTCATGGGCTCGAAGTGCACGTACGCCGCTCCCACAGCGGGACCCGGCCCTTTGCCTGTGACATCTGCGGCAAAACCTTCGGCCACGCCGTGAGCCTGGAGCAGCACACGCACGTCCACTCCCAGGTGGGCAGCTGGCCAGGCACAGAACCCCAGCCCCCTCCCGCTCTGTGCTTCCCTCAGGGAGCCTGGGGGCTGCGGCGGGTCTCTCCCCCTGCCCCTGAGGGTGACATGGATGAGGGGGTCCCTGCTACCTGCCTCTCTAAGTCTGGGTCTCCAACACCTGCCCTTAACACACTTGGGTCTCTGATAGACCGAGTTGGCTTCACGTACAATTGGAAGAGGCTCTTGCCCTGGCGGGATTTCGGGGGCAGCGATATGTCTGGGATGGTCAGGAACGATCCTGCCCCCTGGGTGGCCCGGACAGGTGCCTTCAGCTGTGAAGCCCTTGGTTCTTAGAATCTTGGAGTTAGGTTTAAATATTCATGTCATCCTCCTTAGCCCCACCTAAGGCAGGGACCCCCTCTTTAGTATGTATCCCTTCCAGGGAGAGCATCTGAAACTGACATGGGTCACCAGCACCGGGTGGGCCAGGTGGGGAATGCTCATGAGGGCTGGGGCTGGAGGGCGCCGCCACGTGCCGGCGCTGGCGCAGGTGTCCACCTGCAGGCCTCCAGCAGCACTTTGAGGTCATCGCTATTGCTGTCCCAGTGTACGGATGAGGAAACTGAGTCTCAGGGAGGTCAAATGACTTGTCTAAGAGCATGTGGCTACTGAGAGGCAGAAGCCAGAATTGGGCTTCAGCAGCTGAGACTCTTAACTAAGCCTCCGTGCAGCCCACAAGCATCCCCCGCCTTGAGGAACTGGCTCTGGGTGAATGGTCATGAACCATGAACCCTGAAAAAACTCTCAGGTTAGTTGGTCCATCAGCCACTCAACAAACACATACTGAGGCTTATCTCGAGTAGGATAAGTGTGAAAGTCGCAAGGAAAAATTGCACAGGAGGCCAGTTAGGCTCCAAGTCCCATCTGAGAGGCAGGAATTGGGCGGAGGTCCCCGTCCTTGAGGCCATCCCAACAGAGTGTCCTGTTCCTCAGGGGATCCCGGCCGGGTCCAGTCCTGCGCCCAGCCTGGCACTCCCGGGCCGTGAGGCCCCGCCGGCACCTGACCCCCCAGGGCCTCGTTTCCTCCGGCAGGAGCGCAGCTTCCAGTGCCGCATGTGCGGCAAGGCCTTCAAGCGCTCGTCCACGCTCAGCACCCACCTGCTCATCCACTCGGACACGCGGCCCTACCCCTGCCAGTTCTGCGGCAAGCGCTTCCACCAGAAGTCGGACATGAAGAAGCACACCTACATCCACACCGGTGAGCCAGCCGCCCGCCTGCGTCCCCGGGCCTGACCCGCCCAGGGCCCAGGCAGAGCCAGGGGCGGGGGCTGGAGACCGCCTCGGTCTCCCTCACTGTCACTGAGAGCCGTGTCAGAGGCTGGCGCTTGAGCTCGGGGTGGGGTCTAGTTACAAAGTGGAAGCCACCACTGGCAGAGGGTGATGTTCTACAGATCGAATTCCGGCAGGGCAGGGGCAGCGGGCTGGCGAGGATGCCCTGACCCCGCCCTTGCTGTGCTGCCCCGCCCCCACCCCCACAGGCGAGAAGCCACACAAGTGCCAGGTGTGCGGGAAGGCCTTCAGCCAGAGCTCCAACCTCATCACGCACAGCCGCAAGCACACGGGCTTCAAGCCCTTCAGCTGTGAGCTGTGCACCAAGGGCTTCCAGCGCAAGGTGGACCTGCGGCGTCACCGTGAGAGCCAGCACAATCTCAAGTGAGGCTGTGCCAGCTCCTGGCACCTGGCCAGCCTGCCCTGCGGTCCTGTCACCCGGAGTCCGGACTCAGGCACCCAGATCGCCAGTCTCCTGGAGACGGCACCGGAAAGGAATCTTTAAGCTTATGTTGAGACTCGTGAAATTGCTGTGTGACTTTCGGCAAGTCACGTTCCCTCTCTGGCTCAACATTTCTCCTGCCGCAAAGTGCAGGAGCTGGGCTGGGTCTTCTAAGCTGAATTTGCCTACAGGTGTGTTCAGGTGCTTTCTTCTAGCCGAGCACGGAAAGCGGGAGTACCCCCAGGCAGACGGGGATGCCATGAATAGACCAGAGCTGGGCCCCACGGACACATCCTCCCGTGTCTGTTGCCCCCTGGGCTGGGATCTGGTCACCTTGGATTTTCCTGGGCCTCTTTCCGGGTGACGGACAGTCAGAGCTGCCTCCTGCCCAGCAGGAGGGGTGGCGTCCCTCCGCTGCGGCCAGCTGTGTCGGCTGCCCCCACCTCTGCCCAGCACTCAGCCAGCCACAGGGACTCCAGTGCTGCCATCAGGTCTCGGGTCTGCGGAAACCAGCAGTTACTGATGTCAAAGCCTGTTCCTCTCCATTGCTGTAACTGAAAATAAAGACAGATTTGTTTGCACGTGAGCAGCGTCACTAAGTGCCGACCAGGTCCAAGATACTGCCCGAGGCTTTGGGGTGGGGACCCGGGGAGCCTCAAATAGCAGAGAAGGCTGTGGGAGGGCCAAGGCGCGTTGGGAGACCCACACGGCCACCACGTCCAGGCCACTGATGAGTGCTGCCACAGAGGCGTCAGACACCCCAAGTTACAAGGTTGGAGCAGCGGGGGCCGTGTCAGTTTCCTGTTGCCGCGGTAACAAATGACCACACACTTAGTGGCTTAAAACAACACAGAGGTGTTCTCTTACAATTCTGGAGGCCGGAACCCCAAATGGGTCTTAGGGCCAAAGTCAAGGCGTTGGCAGGGCTGCGCTCCTCCCGGAGGCTGCAGGGCAGAGCCCGTTTCCTTGTCCTTTTCAGCTTCTAGACGCCGCCTGCCACCCCCGGCTCGGGGTCCCCCTCAGTCTTCAAGGCACTCCGCTCCGACCTGTGCTTCTGTTGTCCCATCTCCTTCTTCTACCTTTGACCTTCTTGTCTCCCTCTCATGAGGCCCCTGCGATTGCACCAGGTGCTCCCGGATAATCCGGGAGAATCGTCCCGTCTCGAGGCCCTGAACGTAGTCACCACGGTGGGCTGAATGACGGCCCCAAAGATGATGTCTGCACCCCGGTACGGGGACCTGTGTTACCTTGTATGGCAAAATGGACGTCACAGCTGCTACCTTACTAGCTGTGTGGCTTCAGGTGAGGCCCTGACACTCTCTGGGGCTCAGCTTCCTCCTCTGTGGAATGGTGAACCCAGCAGTCCCCGGCTACGGACTCGCTGAGACCTTTGTGTGGAGCAGCGTCAGGGCCCAGCACGTGGGAGGTGGGGCCAAGTCCTGCACGTCCCCTTCCCAGCCCTGCCCGCCATGCGAGGCCCACTCACGTCTCCTCCGCGGCGTCTCCCTTGGTCGTGCAGCCAGAGTTCTCTGTCTTCTGACACCGAGCAACCTGGGCTCCTGCTCACAGCCTGGGAGCCGTGGGATTGGAGCCGCAGTGGTCTGTGGGTAACTTGCCCCTTGGTAGAAGGTATCCCCCTGGGTGCCAGCCCCTGGCGCCACGGACACTTCTGAATGAATCATTCACAGGTGCCAAGCGGCCGAGGGTTCCCCACTGTCTCTCACCCACATAAACCTCCATGAGGGAGGTGCCATCCCATTTTACAGATGAGGCAACTGAGGCTCAGAGAGGTCAGCCATGAAAGAATACGGACAGCAGGGCTTACCCTTTCCCAGAGAAAAGAGGATGTTTTCAAAGAAATGCTATTGTTGTCAGGTGGTTCCTCTTTATAATGTGATTTAGCCTTGGGTTTCTGAGCCAACTTGATTAAGGTGTGTTGGTCAACTCGTGAGGCTCAACCAGTCAGGAAACGGTGCATGGTGACATGCCCCGGCAAGGGCCCAGTCCCCGCCAGCGGTGCACAGCTCAGACACGGATCCAGCTAGAAGCCGTTCACGTGGACCATCTGGTCCTTCCTGCCACAGGGGAGTGAAGGACACGTCCCCGGACTCATGCTCACAGTTGCAGAGAGGACCAAGCTGGCCGGACGTGCCCCAGACCAGCCTGGTGTCCCAAGTGTGCCCCACAGGCCTGCAAAGGTTCACTTGGTTTACAGAGTAAGGATTGCATTTGTCAAATGACTTTGGGGAATTCTGGGTTAAAGTTAAGCGATATCCTTTACTGAACTGCTTTTTAGAGCCAATCATGTATAATACACACCTGTCCATCTCCAAGGGGAGGATCTGGGTATTCAGTGTTTTTCTAAGATTTAATTTGGGAACAGAGACGGTGGGGCGGGGGGAGAGAGAGACTGGCTTCCTTGCCCAAGGTCACGCAGCAGGCAAGGGCAGAACCAGGGTCAAGAACCCATTCCAAGCCTCAGCTGTCTTCTTGGAGCCTCCCTCCCACTGAGGCACGAAGGCAGCTCCTCGAGTTCTCTCCTCTGGGTGGGGCTTTGAGGCCGAGGCGTCTGTCTACATCCCCACGGAGAACGAAGAACCGCAAGTCCTAGCGACACCCAGGCTCTGCGTTCGGCTGGTAGGACCCTGCCACACACTTCCGTGCAGAGGCCCTTCCTGCTGCCGCTACCCAGGCTGCCAGGCGCTGGGGCGGTGGTGATTGCACAGCAGGGCGGTCTGGCCGCCTCCGCAGGCTCCCTGCTGCTGTCCCGAACACTCGTGGAAGGACACAGTGGCCAGAACCTCAGAGCCAGCAGACCCTTGGGGACCTCCTGTTCCCACCCCTCCTCCTGTCCTCGGCGACAGTGAAGCCCAGGGAGAGGAAGGGACTTGCCCAGGGCCACACTGCTGGGGCTAGGCCTGGAAAGGGCTCCCAGCTCTCTGGTGAGGACCTTGCCTTGCACCACCCAGGGCAGGCAAAGTGCAAAGGTGGGGGCTGGGGGTGCTCAGCGTCACTCACACACACACACACATATAGGGGTGGGAGCTGCTTTGCATGCTCCTTGTTTGCTAAACAAAGCCAAACCAACATCAGGATTTTGGCTACTTGTGCAGCAGGGCGGGGCACGGAGCAGACGCTGAGCTGCGAGGGGCAGCCAGGCAACACTTCCTCCTCACCGGCTGAGGTCTAAGGGATCAGGGTGAGCTCGTCTGGCTCCTCCACTGAGTGGCCACCACAGTGTGCGTGGTGTGTGGTGTGTGTGGTGTGCGAGGCGAGGAGGGGGCCACAGCAGCCTCAAAGCAGTGGGGGCTGGGACCCCATTTGCACATTGCAGCGAAAGGGGGCAGCTCGCGGGGAAGCCCCCAGAACCTGCCTGTCAGAGGATTCAGCCCTGGCTGGGCACTGTGGCCCTACGGAGGCAGTGGTGGGGTGTGGGGGTCACCGCTCCCTCCTCGTTCCCCCCAGGGCTGCGCAGGATGGGCCTCATAGGCAGAACTGGCGGGGCCCGGAGAAGGCAGCCCCTGGAGACGGCCGCAGAGTGGGGCCCGCCAGCCGGGAGCCGAGTTCTCCATGATGTTCTGTCTCCTTCTGGACGCAGGGGCCGCACTCATCACATGGGAGGTGACTCCGTAGGTGCAGTGGGGCACCACCCACCTGTTGTCTGTGACTTGAGGGGACTTCAAGCCCCCCATTCTCCACTTCCCATGGGCTCCCCCGAGCTTCCCACTTGGCCTGAAATTTCTGCCACCTGAGTCACATGTGACCTGGAAGGCACTGCCCAGCCCTGTGAGGACTGGCCGTGGCTTCCGTGTGCGACGCAGGGAAGCAGAGGCCCAGGGAGGGGAGGTGCTAGCCCCAGGCCACATTGGCAGTTGGTGGCAGTGTCAGACAGAATCTAGTCTGTGGCCTTTCCACCAGGGCCACTGGGGACCACATTTCCAAGGAATGTGGCGCACGTGGGCACCACCGGGCTCCTTAGACTGTGGCACTGACGCCAGTGGGTGTGGGTGGGGCACGTGAGGTTGGCACTGGTGACTCAACTTGGAATATCAGTTTACTGAATGGTAAATAACAAAACCAATATTTCAATATTAAAACAAAGCAGCCACGTTAGGGAGCGAAATGCAACATGTGAATTAATTTTCAGATAAAATGTCCTGTTAGTGGTGACAGCTTCAGGCTGCATTCACAGTCCCTGTGCTTTGCATTCCCTGTGCAGGGAATGTGGGGGAGACCCCCCGCACCCGCCCGTCCCGCCCCCTGCCCCCAGCGGTGCTGCAGGGCTCCATGGAAATCACCGAGAAGGATGGAAAGGTGTCTCCCAGGGTCAGCCCAGAGGTGTGTGTGTGGCTAAGTTGGCCGTCCCCATCTGCCCCTGGCTGGAGTGTGCTGGCCTGGTTGAAGGGTGGACAGACCAAGGTAGGGACCGGCCACTGGGGCAGTCTCGCAGTGGAAGGGGGCGGGGTTCTGTATGATCCGAAAGTTCCCCGGAGGCCAGATCCCCCCGACCTAGAGGACCGAGGCTCAGCTGCTCGCCATGACCTGGCTTTCACGGGTGACCCCAGAACTTGACTGCGAGGCTCCCGCTCCGTGTGGTGTGGTGAAGGCCACCCCAGTGGGCAGCAGGCAGAGCACGGCATGGGCGGGGGGCGGGCAGCTGAGGAGCCGACGCGCTTTACAGGGACCGACCCAGAAAGGGGTTCTGAGGCTGATGCGAAGGACGAAAGCTCGCGGCGTGCTAGCGCACTGGTTCTGCGACAACACACAGCCGCGTCTGTGCACGCTTAGACAAACGGACCTGAAGAAAGCCCAGGACACCACTGACAGCAATTGTTTCTGGGGCTGAAAAAGAGGGCCGGATTTCACCCTCAGTGCTGCCTATAAAAGCGTCCTGCATTGGTTGTGTGTATTTCTAACTAAAAAAAAATACAAGAGAAAATAGTTAATGCAGAATAAATGTATTGATGGAGAAAGCTATTCATATCTTCAATGAAAAAATTGTTTAAAAATCAGTATACCAGCCGGGTATGGTGGCTTATGCCTATAATCTTGGCACTCTGGGAGGCCGAGGTGGGAGGATCACTTGAGCTCAGGAGTTCGAGACCAGCCTGAGCAACAGTGAGACCCCCATCTCTACTAAAAATAGAAAAAATTAGCCGGGCATGGTGGCGCATGCCTGTGGTCCCAGCTACTTGGGAGGCTGAGGCAGGAGGATCGCTTGAGCCCAGGGGTTTGAGGTTGCTGTGAGCTAGGCTGACACCACGGCACTCTAGCCCGGGCAACACAGTGAGACTCTGTCTCAAAAAAAAAATCAGTGTTTAGCCTGCGATTCCGTGTTGTTGATTCTACGCGCACGCACGGAAGGAAGGGTGCAAGGATAAAGCTCAGAGTATCAACAGCGGCTGCTGCGAGTCACGGGGATTGTGCGTATTTTTTCTTCCTATTTTTCAGAGTGTGTATTTTATTTTTCTGTAATGGGCATGGATGATAACATTATCACTGGCACTAGAAAAAAAGACTCTCTCAGCTCAAATATAATTTCCTGGCCTGGAGGTTTGCCTTTCTGCCCCCTCCC